AAGTAATTGCTTTTTTAAGGCAGAAATTGATAAATTCATAAAAATATATCTAAAATATTGTGAATATATCATATTAATGAAAATGTAAACTAAGTAAAGAGGCTCTAGCTGCTTAATCAATTGGTGCTAATTGCCAGTCAATGCCATTACTCGCCAACGATTGTCATATTGTTCAAACAGGAAAACAAGCTACCAACTAGGTATAAAGCTCAAGAAAATTTGGCAAAGTAAGAATTCAAATTTAAATGGAATTTCATTTTTTTTTAAATTAATGGTTTAATTAACAAGGGATATTTGTGGACTTTGACTTCGAGGTTAGTCTATATTCATTCATATTTAAAATATCTAAGAATAAATAGTTACATGTTTTCCAGGATTGGCTTTTTGAAAACAGAGGAGACAATTAGATATAAAATGTCTGGGAAACACTAGATAATTGTACTTGTTTTTCGAATTGGAAAAGGCCTTTAGAAGGTTTTTAAAAGCCCCTTAAAAGATCTAGTCATATAAGTTTACGGAAAAGGAAATGTAGCAAGACACAGCAGATGTAAACTCATTCAACTTCCACAACAAAGAATAACCATGCGAGTGAATGAAGTTCTGAGAGACAGCTGTACTTCTATCAAAGGAAGAAATTTATATACCCATCTGTTTATTAAGAATTTGAAGGACTTTATTTTATAAGTCTTTTAATTTTATTTAAATTTTTCATCAAATGCCTTGAATTTGTAGAAGGTTAAACACGAGTATACTCTTCCATCTGAATAAGACCTGTAGAATCTTCTGAGCTAATTATACCAATAGGAAAATAAGATCGATATAACAACAACCAGCATTAAAAACCAGTACCGGAACAACAACCGTTTTATTCAGAGACCTCAGGCCCATTATAATTATATTGGAAATTATTAGAATGGAAGGTGTAAAAATCGACATTAGAGTAATTGATAATGAAAATTCGCTATTGGAATTGTAGTAGTATTTGAGGCATTTGCTAAGGCTAAAGTTCCTAACTCCCGTCCCAGGTATATTGATATTGAATTTAATGAATCTTCAAATAATCTCTTTTCATTTATCAGTTTCCTCGACTCAATTAAAAAGGGCCTTTAAAGTATTCAATTCTTTAAATACTTAATTTGATTTTGGATTTAAGGATTCTATTTTAGGCAATTGCAAAGGTTGCAGTACCTTTATCTCAGATAGATATGCCTATCTTAAATATTGATGTTTAAGGATTAGCTAAAATATCTTGTATTTCTTAGCTTTCTCGACATCCTGTTTAAAATGACCTCAATCTATTTGCCTCTGAACCCATAGCAGTCATTAAACCAGAATAAAAGTCCATACAATCCTATTTAGAATTGTGAGACAAGGAAAAAACAGCTTGAACTTAAAGCGGATTTTACTTGAGATGTGAAAACCCATTATCGCTTATTATAAACATTTCCACCGATCATAGGAAGGCTTGACTAAACTAGAATTTAAATTTAGAAACCTTAACCGCTGTAAGATTATAATATTGCGGTTTACATAATTAGCAGCAATTTATACTATCATTTCAAAGCATTCCCACAATGGTCGGTACTGCTATACGAAACAATTATTATGCTTCTTCATAATATAACAATAGGCTATCCTACATTTCCTTCCAATGTAGCAAGGAACCTAAATGTTGGAAATGTGATGATTTGATATACAAGGGACCGATATGTTGGAAATATGAAGGTTTGACATTTCGGCCCAAGGCCTACAGAAGCCCGGAGAAGAAGATTACTTTTGACAACTATTTGACAATAAACTTAGTATTTTTTTACACTATTGGAATTTACCTCTCACAATCACAATTATGTATTTTGAAAGCAAAGTAGTTGTCAGATGGACTTACTGGCCGACCTTATATATAAGCCTTGATTTACCGTTTCTAAGTGCATTCAAATTTTGTACTACCACTTTGTAAGGTTTTATTTATGGAAGAAGTCCTATCACCTTTTGATCAATCAATTTAATTTAAGTAGAATATCAAACTAAATAAAAAATCCTCCTATTCCTCCGGTAGAATCAGATTTTTCATTGTCTTATATTTTCTCTGGTTGCAATGTGAAAAATTTGAAGCCCGCCCCTCTCATTCATTAACCAAGAAATATGATTTGTGTTACTTGTCGCAAACTGAAAATGTTACTGTCTCAAGTGTATTTAATTCTTTTTTATGTTTTTTTATGTAAATAATATTATGTTTTGTTTATGCACACACACTGTGATTTCAAAATAGACGAAAAAAAAAAACAAAAATATGATGCTAAGGAATGTATTGAATTTTGTATTTTTGTATGTTTTATATAAACAAACCACAAAGCTTAGTAGGACCAACCACAACCCCCACGCCTTCTCTTCTATGATATATAGGTACTATTTATTGGTGTGTATATTGAATCATACCCCTATGTTGTAGGTTTATTGGTTGGTTCGTTTCGTTTATTTGGTTCTTTGCCGCCATGTGGTGGTGTGGGGACATTACAAATTGTTTTTGGTTGTCAATGCTGTTGTTATTGGTTTATATATTTTATTGTGTTATATTTTTTCTATTTGTTTATTACACACGAAAAAAAATACTGCACTTGATAGATAATAGCTTATCAATATAGCGCAATTTATTGTCGGAGGTGAGGGGAGGAGGTACATTTATCGGATTTGGAAATGGAAAATCCATAAAAAAAGTATTTTTTAGGGATTTCGGGATGTGGAATATGACTCATTATCTTTCGATGGATTAGTTCCAAATCTTCAATCTTCTTGAAAAAAAAAATTCTTTAAAAAATCCTCGTTTCTTCAACTTATGGTCCTTGAAAAATATTCTTTAAAAAATCCACGTTTCTTCAACTTTAAAAAATATTCTTTAAAAAATAAACGATTCTTGGTCTTTTGGTCCTTAAAAAATATTCTTTAAAAAATCAACGATTCCTGGTCTTTTGTTCCTTAAAAAATATTCTTTAAAAAATCCACGTTTCTCGGTCCTTAAAAAATATTTTTTAAAAAATCAACGAAGGACCTTTTGACCCTTAAAAAAATATTCTTTAAAAAATCCACGTTTTTTGGACTTTTGGTCCTTGAAAAAATATTCTTTAAAAAATCAAAGTTTCTTGTTCTTTTGGTCCTTGAAAACATTTTCTTAAAAAATCAAAGTTTCTTGGTCCTTTGGTCCTTGAAAAATATTCTTTTAAAAATCCACGTTTCTTGGACTTTTGGTCCTTGAAAAATATTCTTTTAAAAATCCACGTTTCTTGGACTTTTGGTCCTTGAAAAATATTCTTTTAAAAATCCATGTTACTTGGACTTTTGGTCCTTGAAAAAATATTTTTTAAAAAATCAACGCTTCTTCAACTGATGGTCCCTATTCTTTAAAAAATCCACGTTTCTTGGTCTTATGGTCCTTAAAAAAATATTCTTTAAAAAAAATCCACGTTTCTTGGTCTTTTGGTCCTTAAAAAAATATTAAAAAAATCCACGTTTCTTGGTCTTCTGATCCTTGAAAATATATTTTTTAAAAAATCCTCATTTCTTCAAATTATGATCTTTCTTTAAATTCTTTAAAAAATATACGTTACTTGGTCTTATGGCTCCTGAAAAAAATTCTTCAAAAAATCCATGTTTCTTCAATTTATGGTCCTTGAAAAAATATTCTTTAAAAAATCCATGTTTCTTCAACTAATGGTCCTTGAAAAAATATTCTTTAAAAATCCACTTTTCTTGGTCTTTTGGTCCTTGAAAAAATGTTCTTTAAAAAATCCACGTTTCTCGGTCTTTTGGTCCTTGAAAAAATATTCTTTAAAAAATCCATGATTCTCGGTCTTTTGGTCCTTGAAAAAATGTTCTTTAAAAAATCCATGTTTCTCGGTCTTTTGGTCCTTGAAAAAATATTCTTTAAAAAATCCATGATTCTCGGTCTTTTGGTCCTTGAAAAAATATTTTTTAAAAAATCAACGCTTCTTCAACTGATGGTCCCTAAAAAAATATTCTTTAAAAAATCCACGTTTCTTGGTCTTATGGTCCTTAAAAAAAATATTCTTTAAAAAAATCCACGTTTCTTGGTCTTTTGGTCCTTAAAAAAATATTAAAAAAATCCACGTTTCTTGGTCTTGTGGTCCTTGAAAATATATTTTTTAAAAAATCCTCATTTCTTCAAATTATGATCTTTCTTTAAATTCTTTAAAAAATATACGTTACTTGGTCTTATGGCTCCTGAAAAAAATTCTCCAAAAAATCCATGTTTCTTCAACTTATGGTCCTTGAAAAAATATTCTTTAAAAAATCCATGTTTCTTCAACTAATGGTCCTTGAAAAAATATTCTTTAAAAATCCACTTTTCTTGGTCTTTTGGTCCTTGAAAAAATGTTCTTTAAAAATCCATGTTTCTCGGTCTTTTGGTCCTTGAAAAAATATTCTTTAAAAAATCCACGTTCCTTGGTCTTTTGGTCCTTGAAAAAATATTCTGTAAAAAATCCTCGGACACTGCGACGCGGATGTCAGACTTTGTCCCTAATTTTAAACATTGTATTAAACCTTTCGATATTTGTCCGAAATCTTAATATTGATACCCCCAAGAAAGGATACAAAACTGTCCTTTGCTTTAACATTTCCCAATCACATCATTCACTGCCTCCACCAAAACACCTTCCCCCTAGTCTTACATCAATACCACAAACACACCTCAAATACCACACAAAACCCTAGAAATATTTGCTATTATTGTGGGTGGATTTTTCCCAAAAAATTAGAACCTCTGTATTCCCTCCCTCCCTCCTCTTTTGTTTTTCTTTTCTCCTCCTCCCCTCCCAATTTATTTTAATTTTTTGTTTTTTATTATTATTTAAATTTATATTTTATTTTTAAAATTTATATTAATTTATTGTTTTTTACAAAAAATCCCACCTTCCTATGCCACCCCACAATCTATTAATCTAATCTATGCGAACGTTAAATCTACAATGTTACAGGTGTTAAAGCTGTTGATAAACGTGATGGCGCTGGCGCTCACAACTGGGGATCGGTAAAGGACACTATCGATGATGTCAACAAGAGCACCAATTCCGAGGAGAATGGCAATGTTAGCGGTGCTGAGAAGGGCGATGAATCTGGCAATGAACAGGCTGCTGAGCAGACACCCGTTGAGGAGGAGGTTAAGGAATTGACATTGGACGAATGGAAGGCCCAACAGCAACAGCGTGCTAAACCTCAATTCAATATTCGCAAGGCTGGTGAAGGTAGGTTTAAAGCTAGTCATTATTTTTTATTCGGTTTTTAATTATTGTTGTTTGTTTGTTTTCGTTTAGGTGAAGACACCACCAAATGGAAGAAAATGGTCGTTTTGAACAATACCAAGGTTGCTGGCAAGAAGGGTGGCAACGAAAGCGAAGAAGAACTTGAATATGACCCTGCCATGTATCCCCAGCGCGTTGGCAGGCAACAACGCGTCTTGGATATCCAATTCAATTTCAATGATGGCCGTCGTTTGGGTGGTTTTGGTGGACGTGGACGCGGTGGTCGTGGTGGTCCACGCAACAACAATGCCGGCGCTGGTGCTGGTGCTGCTGGTGGTGAGGCCGCCCCCGCTGCTCCCGGTGGTGGCCGACCTCGCTTCGAGGGCGGCAATCGCACTGGTGGCAATGCCGGTGGTCGTGGTGGTGCTGGCGGTAAACGTCAATTTGGTGGTGACAAACAAAACGCCGCTCCCAAAGTAAATGATGAGCGTCAATTCCCCACATTGTCCTAAATTTTCCAATTCCCGCCTCGTTTTCCCCCCAAAATTTAAAAAAAAAAACAACAACAACAACACTCAAATAAACAACAAAGAGGATAAACAAGCTTCTCCCTCATAATTCATACAAAAAAATGGAAGCTCCCTCTTCACTCCACCACACCAAAACAACAACAGCAAAACCTGGCGTGGGTGTAGGGTGGCCATTATGAAACAATAACTTAAAGAAGAAATCAGTTTTAAGCCTAAGCCGTAGCACCACTACCCTCCCCGCTCTACACCACACACCAAGAAGAAGAAACTACTCCAACAACAACAACAATAATAATAACAATTTTTAAAAAACTAAGATGATGAAGAAGTTTAAAATAATGAAGAAGAAAAAGAAAATACACATGCCGTCGCAGGGAAGAAGTAACATTAAAAAAACAAGCAAAATATCTAAGAATAAGAGATGATAAAGAAGAGGAAGAAGAAGAAGATGCATAATAAGATGAAGTTTTAGTGTTAGAGAGAAGTAACGTTTTTTTTAAATATTATTTTCAAGCCAAAATAAACAAGTCATTTAAAATTAGTGTAAACCACACATACACACACTCCAACAACAACAACAAGCAGGCAGACAGACAAACAAAATGGACAGATTTTTACCCAGCGTTCCGTTCCGTTCTCCCACACACACACACTCACTTGGACCTTGACTCCATCCCCAAAAAGATCCAAGCAGCATCTCAGCTCTACCCAATTGAAAACTCCTTTCAATCATCAACATCATCATCACCACCATACCCCACTTAAAAAGCCAAGCAATACTACTACCATCATGAAGATGGATGAGTTAATAAGAATACCCCGCCTCCTGCTCCTCCCCCCGCCCCCAAGAAGTTTTACTTATATTGCCTAATATATAAATATTCTTGTTTTATTTTTTATTATTATTTTTAAGAATTTTGTTTAATTGTTTTTTATTACAAAACAAACAACAAAAGTGAATTTCTTTTTGGAAAACAGTATTGGGTTATATAAAATATATATTAAAAAAAAAACATAGACAAGCAAAGAAAGGGGTATTTTGAAAAACTGGACCACATTGGATCCTCCTCACGTACAAAACGAAAATATAACCACAATGGAATTCAAAATTATAACAAAAGTGATTATTTTTCAAAGCGAAATTTTGAAAAAACAAAGAAAAGAAATCATGATTTTTATTTTCATTGTTTTGGTTTTATTTAGTTTTTTTTTTTTTTTTTTTTTTGGGGATAGGAGTTGAGAGTTGACAAGGATTAACAATTTTCCAAGACACAAGAAAAAAAAAAAACACAGTTGAAAACAAAAACAAATTAAGATTTCAAAAGCAAACAAACAGAAGAGTAGTGGGTATTAACATTTAAATAATTAAAATAAAATTCTATTTTCAAAACAAAACAAAAAAAAAAAATAAAGACTGTTTTAAAGATCAAGCATCAAAATTTGATCTTTATAAAAAACAAAATCTTTGTTTTTCTTCTTCCCAAAAAGCAAAACAAAAGTAAATAGTTTTAACACATCCTGATGATGAATGGTAAAGGAGTTTAAAAGTAACAACAACAATGATTTCAGAAAAATGTTCTCAATTTAATTAATTTTTGTTTTTTGCCTAGTTAAGCCTTGAAACAAGTTATACCATTTTATAAATGGTAAGCTATATTTTAACTTATATAGCCAAAAAAAGAAAAAGAGGAATATACTTTTTTTAAATTGTTAGAAATTTAACCCAATTAGTAGTATCTTTTTACCAAGGACCGACCCACAGTAGAACAAAAAGAAAACACACCGACAGCAGACCCCCTCGCCCCCCCTTCCCATTTGAAATTCTTTTTCAATACAACTTCATGCATATTTTATATAGAGTTGTTTATAATGTTATAAATATTCAAAACATGAGTTATTTTTTTTTTGTTTTTTTCTTAGTCTTTCACAAAAATTTGCCAAATTATAATTTTTAAAAATTTCCTTTTGTTAAAAAAATATATGAAAACAATATTTAGTCCCTTATATATACTTTTTTTCGAAATTACAAAATTTATTGTTTATTTAACCTATTCTGTGAATTCATCATTGCCCTTTTGAATTGTAAAAAACGTTTTAAGGGTTTTTGATCTAATATTATAAGCGAACTTATAAAATAAACATTTTTATATAAATAGTTTTTTTTTATTATTATTATTTTTATTTTTTCTATTTATGATTTTTAAAAACAATGTTTGTAATAGGCATTTTTTTGTAACCACAAAAACACAAAACGAAAACTTTTGCGGCACAACACAAAGAAAAACACAAGATTAAAATTTCTATATAAAGATATTTGCCCGACCATCTTTCCGCGACTCTCCAAAGAAGTAAAAAAGTAAAACCTAAGAAATTCAAGTTCCAATTGTATTGACTAAATATCGTATTTCTCAATTGATAGGGCAATATTTCTAAGAGAGAGAGGAAGAGAGAGAGAGAGAGAGAGAGAACTTCAATATAATGATAAATTTTTTAACAAATCATTAGAGCTCTTCGGTGGATTGAAATCATTTGATTGGTCATTTGCTAGAGATTAAAAAAACCCATTAACTTTTTAAAAAGTCCACTTTTTAAATTCCTAATTCAAGATTGAAAATCTAATAGTCCTTGAAAAAAAATGTTAAAAAAATTCAAGATATGACCTCTTATTGTCCCTTAAGAAAAATCCAAAATCGGGGCTCTAATAGTCCCTTAAGAAAACCTTCAACAAGTCTTCATAAAGAAAGTTTTAAAAATCTTAAATGGGAGCTAAAAATCCTACTTTGGAGCTCGAATTGGTGCTCTAAAAGTCCGTAACGAAAAGTCTTAAAAAATCCAAGATTTGAAATCTTACAGTCCCTAAAGAAAAATCCATCAATAATCCAAAGTTGGAGTCTTTAAAATCCAAGATCGGAACTCTAATAGTCCCTTAAGAAAGTCTTCAAGAAATCGAAGGATGTTGCTCTAATTGGTGCTCTATAAGTGTTTTAAATCTCTAAAAAACCTAGTTTGAAGCTCGAAGTGGTGCTCTAAAAGTCCCTAAAGAAAAGCCTTAAAAAATCCAAGATTTGAGCTCTTACAGTCCCTGAAGAAAAATCTATCAATAATTGGTGATCTAAAAGGCTCTCATAGGGAAAGTTCTAAAAATCTTAAATCGGAGCTCTAAAAATCCAAGTATGGAGCTCGAATTGGTGCTCTAAAAGTCTCTTAAGAAAAGTCTTAAAAAATGCAAGATTTGCTCTTACAGTCCTGAAGAAAAATCTTTAAATAACCCAAAATTGGAGCCTTTAAAATCCAAGCTCTAATAGTCCCTTAAGAAAATCTTCAACACTTCCAAGGATGTTGCTCTAAAATCTCTTAAGAAAAGTCTTTAAAAATCCAAGATTTGAGCTCTTACAGTCCCTGAAAAAAATCTTTGAATACTCCAAAATTGGAGTCTTTAAAATCAAAGATCTGAGCTATAATAGTCCCTTAAGAAAATCTTCAACAAATCCAAGGTTGTCGTTCTAATTGGTTGTCTAAAAGGATCTCATAAGGAAAGTTTTAAAAATCTTAAATGGGAGCTCTAAAAATACAAATCCAAGATTGGAGCTCTAATTGACCCATCAGAAAAGTATATTAAATTCTTTATTGGAGGCCTATTAAAAAACTATTAAGAAAAGTCTTTAAAACCCGAGATTTGAGATCTAATAATTCTATAAGAAATGTCTTTAAAAGACTCTTTAATTGTGTTCTGAGAAAAATCGTTAAAAGTCGAATTGGTGCTTTAATAGTCCCTTTGCACCTATAATAGATTGCAAGTCTCATAGTACCTTATGAAAAATCTTAAAAAAATTCAAAATTGGAGCTCTAATAATTCCATCTGAAAAGTATTTTAAATCCAAGATTGGAGCTTAACAAAATCCCTTAAGTCTCTGAGAAAAATCTTAAACAAATCCAAGATCAGTGCTAAAGAAAAATCTTTAAAAAATCCAAGATTGGAGCTCTGCGCAAGTCAAGATTTGAGCTCCAATAGACCATTAATAAAGACCAAAACCAAGTTAAAGCCCTAAAAGTCCCCATTAAGAAATTTTTTTATAAAATCCTAGGATGAATGGAGCCTTTCCGTTTTTTAAAAATCCGTGATAAAAAAATTAAGAATGGAGCTCTGCTAGGTGTTGGAAACAATTCTTTTCAATAATTGAACTCAATAAAAGTCGACAAAAGGCTTAAATTTTTTAAAAAAAATACGATTGGAGCTTGGTAATGGCTGAGAAAAATCTCTAAAAATTCCTCAAATGAAGCTCTGCTAGGTTTCAACATTCAACATAAATATTCTCCCCAAACTAAGATCAAGTTCGAAATGGACTAGAGTCGTGTTTAATTCATCACGAGTTTTCGATAAAAAAAAAAAAAACATAAATTAAGTTCCCAATTTGATTCATTGTTATAGTATCGTAATATTTATAAAACAAATTTAGGACAAGAAAACTTTCGAAGAAGTTTATACGAGAGGAATATATCTGCACAATATTTATATGTAATTCAAATGATATCAATTTTAGTTTTAGCGCTTAATTTGAAATTAAAATCAATTTACTTAACACTTGAGAACATTGAATGAGATTCGGTGTACAGAAGACTTTGATTTTTTATTGAAGATCGCGAGGTCTACTGTAGACAATAAAAGTCTGAGGATACCTTTTGTCAATAGAAAACATTGAAATATTCTATGAACAATAAAATAACTTGAGGCCCCTATGGTCACTAGAAGACTTTGATATTTTTATAGATAAGTGAACCCCTGAAGTCTTCTATTCAGACAATCGAATCTCGAAGGTCATCTATAGACAATATAATACCTTAATACATTATGTGGGAATTAGAAGCTTTCAATAGGCAATGTAAGTCATTGTAGTCTTCCATAGACAATAGATGATCTTCATGATCTAAAGTGTGAGAGTGCACATAATTTTGAGGTCTTCTATAGGCAATGTCGAAGATGTCGATATCATTTATAAGCAGTGGAAGCCCCTGAGGCTTTAGACTGTAAGATCATAATATCCTTTACGAAAAAAATTAAATACATTTTTTAAAAAGAAATTTAAACAACTCTTCAATCGTCAAAAATTTCAGAAAAGGACTGCTGGAAATGATGTTTTCCTTTCAAGCTCACTTTCGAATCATTATAGAGAAACATGCCCATGTATATTTGCCACTAGAAAGAGTAAGATAGGTGTGTAGTTGAGCCTCCTTACTGCAGCCAAGTACCTCGGTATGATAATAGCTGATCACATCAAATATATGGGAGGATATATAATAAACCTGTGGAAATGAGCAATTTATGGCCATTTACTGGCTCCACCATTAGGTGGAGGGTATATTAACCCAATCGATGCAGCGATACCACTTTCATTTTTATTATAGGAATCATCAGGACAAAGTTAGTGGACGTGAAATGTGTAGTAAAAAAATGGTGAACAATTGTCTCCTCAACTAATGCGTTAAATTTGTCTTTCCATTTGCAATTCCTCGAAATATTCGTCGAGTGCCTCAAAATGTTTCCTAATCACGGCTAGCGTAAAGTTATATGCACAGTCATTGATATTATTCCCAGGATCACCATATATTGCGACTTCTTAACAATTTGATGGCCTCATGGGTTTAAGTCCCAATTTCCAACTCAGTGAATAGGTGAGGAGTTACCAAAAAAAAAAAAATCAATGCAGGTTCACTTTTTTGGCATGTTTTGCATATATAAAGGAACCTTCTGATTTTCGGTATTTTTAAGGTTTTAGTCGGAATTTTTTTCGTGTTTTTAGTGGGTAAACTCCTCGCTAAAAAAATAAATAAATAAAATATTTATAGAGTGATTACTTTATGGTATAGCCTCCATATAATGGTACGCCCTACGTATTTCGAAGGTCTCAGTCAAAATTACTATGGTGTAATGTGGCATTTCGAATTCTCAGTGGGCTTTTTAACTCCTCGACAAAAATATTCATTGCAGGTTCGTTTTTTCGTTATATGGGGTCTATCATAACGAAAAATACTAATTACTGGTACTTTATAATTTCGGATCCAATTTTCAAACAAATTAGCTGAAATTAAACATTTCGAGTAGTTTGTGGGTAGATTAAATCCTCTAAAAATAATCAATATAAGTATAGTCCCGAATATGGCGAACTTTAACATTTTAGGTATTTTGAAGATATCCGATTTAGCCATAGTTCAAACTTTTCCTGACACCAGCGTTGCTTAAAATAACATTTCTACATGGATGTTGTAGTTCTGCTGCCACCTTCTTAAAATTCCGCCATGGCTGAGCTGATAGCATCGTAAGCTTCAATTTATAATTCATAGAAATTGGTTCAGTTGTTGTTTTTAATTTTGACTCCTGGCTAGAGACAGAACATTTGGAGTCGATCTAGCGATGTACGCCCGTCCGTCTGTCTGTCTTTCTGGCTGTTGTGCATTATTGTCAAACTTAGATCGTGTTCGGAGATGAGCGATAGTGGTCCACTCCTTATGGTACCTTCCCCACAAAATGTCAACATTTTCAAAGAAAATAATTTACTGCACAGAAAGAGAAAGGATAATCCGATTTTGCTCCAACATTACGAATTGTAATATTTGAATCCGTGCTCGATCAGGAGGGAAAATGGACAATATCGGTCCACTCCATCCAGTACATCCCCCACAAGGGGTCCAAATTTCGAATAGTTAAAACTCTTATAAAATGTGATGTAAGTGTCCGATTGTCTTCAAATTATGCACATCACAATATTTTTATTAACCCAAGATCTGGTGTGAAGATGGAATATGTCGGTCCACTAATTCTGGTACCTCCCCCACAAAAGGGCCAAATTTTATTTATATTTATGACGCTTATAAAACACGAAATTAACATCCGATTCCATTAAGACTTGGCACATCTCAATATTTCCATCATAACAAGATCTGTTATAAAGATGGTAGGGATCGGACCATTCCTTCCTTCTAGTACCTCCCCCACAATGGGTTCAAAGTTTTGAATAATCAAAACGACCATAAAATCCGAATTAAGCATCCAGTTCTCTTCAAATTACACACATCACAATATTTTTTTAACTTAAGGTCTGCTGTGAACATGAGATATATCGGCCCACACCTTCTGGTACCTCACCCACAAAGTGTCAA